CCAGCCTTGCGGGTGATCTGTTCTGCATATTGGTTGAAAAGGTATGGAGACAGGACACATCCCTGGCGTACACCCTTCCCAATTTTGAACCATGCAGTGTTTCCTTGCTCTGTTCTGACGACTGCCTCTTGGTTCAAGTATAGGTTTCGCGTTAGCATGATCAAGTGTTCTGGGATTCCCATTCTTCTCAGAGTACAGGTAACAGCAGAAGAGCACAAAGGTTGCACGGGACTCGGTCGCGGGACAGTTAGAGAGGGCAGAAAGCAGGCGAAAAAGCAAGATAGCTTAGCTCAGCAGAGCTGAAACCCTGCCCATACACGTAACAGCAGAAGACCCCCAAGGCTGCTTGGGACTCGGTCGCAGGACGTTTAGAGAGGGCAGAAAACAGGCGAAAAAGCAAGACAGCTCAGCTCAGCAGAGCTGAAAATCCTGCCCATACAGGTAATAGTAGAAACTATCAACACACCAGTTCGACAGGACACATCACCTTCGTTCGGGGCACATTACCACTAAACTTAGGAGGCTCTGGTCACAGCATAAGAAACTGTTAGCAGCTGATGAGTCTGGAATCACAAAAGCCAAGGAAGCTTTAGATATAAGCTATCAGATCAAGGGCTGGACAATGGGAGATAGATGTTGAAGGAAGTGGGCAGAAGTGGAGCGGTATCTTGATGGATGGTGGAGCAAAGCAATAAGTGGGTCAAGACACTTGTGCCAAGGGCAGGGAGACAACACCAAAACTAATGGTTAATTCCACATTAAGGGATATATTTTCACTTTTTCTGTAAAATGCTTATCTGTTGGATACTTCTCTAAATCTGAACATTCAGATTAATACACATTAGGAAGAAGGATTGGCCATCCACTTCCAAAATAGCAGGCCTCTGAAAACCCTATGTACCTAATTAGGGTTTATCATTAACAAATCATCAAGTGGATCTGTTTGATATGCATTAATTACTTGAGGGTTCTGAATTATTTCTAAGCTTTATCTAGAAACAAGGAATTGGGTAAATAACCGTGCTATACTTAAGTTTTCCCTTACTTGTTCTGATGGGAACATAATGCATTTAAGTATTCTCATAGTCTATAAGAGTCTGTGATTCATTGTATATGCAAAGGTGTTTGACTATGTGGATCATAACAAACTGTGGCTGACTCTGGGAAGAATGGGAATCCCAGAACACTTGATCATGCTAATGCAAAACCTATACTTGGACCAAGAGGCAGTCATCA